TTACTATTTAATCAATTCAAATCTTGAATTATATTAATTACTAGTAACTTCACTCAGTTAATCTTTATAATTTCTTTGATTTATTTATTTCTTTATTTATTTTATTACCCCTTGTTAAGACAATATTCATAGATATTGGCATAAATCTTAGAAATCTTTGTTATTATTGAAAGTTATAGTTTAATTTCTCTCTCTTTATTCTTTAATTATTTCAGTCTCTCTCAACTCTATATTATTAAGATGAATTAAAGTGAAACCCCACTTATCAATTTACTATAATACTGCAATTAACTTATTGAAAGATGATCAATCTTCTAAGTTTTCATCTTTAATCTCAGACTCATTATCAGTAATTTCATTCAAGAAAAGATGTCTAATCTTCTAAGTCTTTATTTTTAATCTCAGACTTATTATTAGTAATTTCACTTAAGAAAATTTTAAAATTTTATTAATATCTTTTGGCTGAATATTTCATTATCTTAATCTTCAATCTCAAACTTGAAAGACTTTAAAATCATCATTATTATTTTTTGATTAAATATTTTATTATTTATAAAAATATTTAGATTTATTTTTCTTAATATTATATTAAAAGAATAATTAAAATTTTATAAATTTAATGAATCAAATAATTTATTATTAATAATTTGAATATATTTAAAATATATTTTATTTTTGAAAATAATAATTATTTTTGATTGAATATTTTTTTTTAAAAAAATATAAATATAATTAGTATTTTAATTTATTTTTTTTTTAAAATATAAAAAAAAATTGCATGTATTTTTTGTAAAATAAATAAAAAAAAATGTACTTATAATAATAATGAAATATGTAATAATTATTTAAATAAAGAAATATATTATTTTAGAAAAAAAAAAATTAATCTTAAAAAAAAGTTATTATTTTACTTAAAGAACTTAAAAAATTAGAAAATCAAAATATTAAATTAAAAGAAAGAAATAATATATTACAGAGATATCATAATAATACCTGATCAATTATTAATAATATAATAAAAATTAAACTAAATTCTGATATTATAAATAATTAAAAAATAATAATATTAAAAAAAATAATAATTTACAATAAATTATTTAATTAATTAATTAAAATTTAATAAAAATTATTTTAAATCTATATTTTATTTATAAGAAATAAAAAAATAAAATGAAAATAGAAATAAAGAAAAATAAAATAAAAATATAAAAAAATAAAAAATTAAAAAGAAAAATATGACTATAATTAAAAAATAAATATATCATTTATATAAATTATTTAATCTATCTAATTTATCTTTTTCTAATCTATCTAATTTATTTTTTTCTATTATATTTTCTAAATAATCTAAATATTTATTTATCAAGTTTATATTTTGATTAATTAAATTTAATCTATCATTTAATAAATTTATTTTATTTATATTATTAATATTTATAAATTTTATTAAATCATAAATAATATTATTTTTATTTGTTAATAATATATTATAATTTAAATTTTCAGCTTGATATAATGCATTATCTGAAAATCTATCTAATCTTGAAGTTATAAAAACTCTAATTATATCTATTAAATAATTTATTTTTAAAAAAGTTCCTATAATTAAATAATAAAAAAAATATAAATAAAAATTATTATCTTCAAAATTATATATAGTATCTTTATAAACTCTATTTTTTTAATTTTTACATTATATATAAATTTGATTTTTTTCAATCATCATCTTTACATAATCTAATTTTAAAATAATAAAAAAAAATAAATAAATATTTATATCATCATTATCAAGATAAAATAAGAATCAGAAATAAATTTAATTATTTTATCATATATCCTATTCATTACTCAGATCCAGTCTCTTGCAAGATCCTTTTTGGAAACTAATATAAAATGTTTATATATTATAATAATATATAATACATATTATGCTTTCAATATAATTAGATTTTACACCTAGTAGTAGCGTAATTTCAGATATATGATAATTTAATAAATATTTATAAGGAATTCATACTCACTGTATATGTTTAAATTTTCTTATAGTATTTAAAAGATTAAGTATTTCTATTTCAAAATTCATATCATATTTATAATTATCATTATTTATTTTATTTGTTAATAGAAAAATATTTTTTTTTGTAAAAAAAAATTAATTTTTTCATTATTAATACTTATCTTTTTATTTTTTTCATAAGATAAAAATATTAATTATACATATAATTATTTATATAAAAAAAAGATAAATTAATAAATTTTATACAAGATTTAACTTTTCATGAGAAAAAAATAAATTAATAAATTTTATATAAGATCTAACTATTTATGAGAAAAAAATAAATTGATAGATTTTACACAGCATAGCAGACTTTATTATAATTAACCAATTTTTATAGATCATTTCATCATAATAAAATATTATTAAAATAATGATTTTTAGTCACAAGAATAAATTTGGAAAGGGTAAGACAAAAAAAATTAGAAAATTCACATTTTAATTTATACATTGTTAAAGTAATTTGATAATCTGCAAAGTAATTTGAAAGTTAAATGAGAAGTACTTTATTTCATCTTTAAATAGGATATACTTTAATGAAAAGGTTGAGATCTATCCTTAGTAAATAATCAAGAAGTACACATAATTTTAGCAATGAACAAAGATATTAAATATTGATTCTATAACTATTAAATATTAAAATTATTTTTTTTACTTATTAATTTATCTTGCTTTTAATATATTAGCTTAAGCTCTTGCATGTTGAGAAAGTGAATGCTGAAATGTGAATGAAAGACAAGTATTAAATATATAAGGGATATCAAATGTATAGAATTAGAATAATATAATATATAGATGAACCTTTGTAAAACTATTAATTAATAAAATATATATTTAGTGTTTCTTTCAATTAATATTGTTAATTATGTTAATTGGCATTCAAAATCTCTTGAACATAAAAATTTTATTTTATGAAAAATTATAATAATGCATATGTATGATAAGTAATTAAGTAATAAATAAAAAATGCATTTATTAAAATATCATTTACAATTATTTTTTAAAAAATATTTATTAAAAATAAAAAAAAAATTTGTAAAAACTTATTTATTAAAAAATTTGTAAGATTTATTTATTAAAACATTTGTATATACATTTCACGAACTAATTCTAAAATCTATAATCCATAACAAAATCCATCCCAAATTGCGTATTTACTAAAGTACCCATAGCTCTCTCAATAAGTATAAATTCATAAGACATTTTTTGTTTCTATGATACGTAATAAAAATATATTTAATTTATTTCGCTATATCACGTTACAATGAGCATCAAGGGAGCGATGTCATGTGCAATCATATACCACCGATCTCCCATTATTCGTCCATCCAATCAGAATAATTAAAAAACCGGAAATTATTAACCAACCAGAATTGGAATAGAAGTTCGTGGAACATACGTAACTGTACTACATAGATAATCGTTATTTTTTTCGCTTGGGAAATACCTCTATACTACACATGCTTTTGCGATAAGGACATGCGAAAATGAGACGAGAAAAGGCTATAAGAGGGGAGAGCTCAACAATCTCTATTAGTTTTCATATCAAAAACCCCAAGTTATAGGGAGTTGAGGTTTCAGAGATTGCAAAGATCGTCATTGCGTTATCAACTTCCGTCTTGCAGGAGCGATCTCGACCCTAAAGGGATTTCATTCCTTCAAAAATTGCGTAATATGTTCGCGCGTCTCTTCTTTGTTGAGTTCTTGGCATTTATGGACTAGCTACACAAGGTAAGGAATCCGTTAATTTTCGAAATCATACGACTGATCCTCTGAACGACGCAATATTATTTTTCTTCTAACAGGTTCGAAGTCGAACATAATGAGGTGTTATAAATAAGCAGAGTTTTCTGAGTCCCTACTTTGAATCAAAAATTCCCAACTCCACGAGTTTCTGTAATTTTTACCAGGTATATATCTCGTCAATTGTGAAGTCACAAGAAGTTTAGTCTGATTGTGTGAATAAATTTCTACTTACTATAGATCTTTTCTCTTAACAGAATACGCAACATGACTGACACCAATAATGATGATATTATCAGCCTCAACCTTCGTTTCCGTAACAGTCAACATGGGAATGTAATTTTTGTAATCGAAATTTCCAAGAACAATAAGGTCTCTGATCTCGAATCTAGAGCTAGGAACCCCATCTCCCGGTCCGCTCCAATAACTTTCATCTTCGACAAATTTACCTAACCAGTGCAGAAAGAAGACATATGCAACCAGATAATGAGATTTCTATTTATTTTCCCGAGAATCCTAATGAAGATTATCCACCCTCCTCTTTCCTCCGAAGAATAATTTTCTGTATAATAGCAATGTATTTACAAATTTTATTACTTGTATCAGTATCACCTTCGAGGCATTTTTTCGTAAAATAAAGTAATTGCGCGTCACGCGTAGTCTGTTGTTGCACGTGTATTATATTCCTATTTGCGGGATGGGCTAAAGCGGAGTATATTGCACGTGCACTTGACCAATAAAATATAGCGTTACATATAATCGAAGCATAGTGGACAATCCTCGTAGTACAAACCTTCCAAAATTGGAAAACCTGACTCAGTTCTGACTCAGTACCGATTC